CTTGCACTCCGCGAGCAGGTCGGAGTAGACGTCGGACGTCTCGCAGTAGATGTTCGTGAGGCAGCGGAGCGCGTCGCGGTAGGCCCACGTGAACTCGTTGTCGATGTTGACCAGCCGCGGGCAGCAGCGCCGGTTCTCGATCTTCTTGATGTTGGGCCGGTAGCCCGCGAGGCTCCCGACGGAGTCCATGTTGCAGCCCACGGGCACGTTGAAGGACACGTTCGCGCGCATGTCGGACACGCACTGGTGCGCCGCGGTCAACGAGCAGCCGACGCACGAGTTGAAGTAGGGCACGACGCCGCCGCCCGTGAGGAGGCACGTCGACCCCTCCTCGACGAAGAGGGCCCGGGCGATCTCGAGCCACGACATGGTCGACGCGTTCCGCGCGGGGGCCGCCAGGACGACGTCCGCCGCCGCGTCCGGCCGCTCGGGCGCCGGCGCGTCGTCGAAGGACCCGTAGGCGTAGGCGTCGTCGCTCCGGGCGCCCCCGGCCCGCAGCGACGGCTCGCCCGCGGACCGCCGCGCGGCGAAGAGGACCGCGAGGCCCACGAGCCGGCGGGGGCAGCCCATCGCAACGTAAATTAATAAGCTCAAGGTTGGTCTTGGCGCCGTGCTGCCGCGGGCTCTGCGGCACGCATGGTCTGAGAGCCCAGAGAAACCAACCTCCATCGATTCGCCATGGGCATCCCGAACGAGAACGTGCGCGACCGCGTCTCGCGAAGTCTTCTTCCCGCTGATCGCGAACCGCGCCGCATAGGTGCCGCTCTTCGTTTCTCACCTCATCCTCCTACTCATCTCCACGGCGGCCTGGGTGCTCTGCATCCCGCGAGCGACCGGCGCGCGAAGGAACCGCCGCCCGTTCGCGGGTCGCGCATCGCCGCGCGCATCGCCGCGCGACCCGCGCGCCCGCCGCGCGCGCTTCGCTCGCCCGCGCGCCTCCGACCCGCCCGCCCCTCCGCAGGATCCTCCACGACGACTGGCCGACGCACATCCACGCGTGGGTCGTCTTCGAGCTCGGCCTCGCGGTCCTCGAGAGCGCCTTCGGCATCTGGGGCGCCATCATCGACGCGCGCGACTCGACCTTCTACGAGCGGCGCACGGAGACGTTCCTGCTCCTCGACATCGTGTTGCTGGTCATGAACCTCGCGACGTCCGTCACGGGCGCGGTCTACTGGCGGCACGGCTCCGACGAGTCGAAGATCCTCTTCGACTGCGTCGTCATCCTATCCTGGATCGCCCTCGGCGTCCTCGCGGTCACGACGGCCCAGGACAAGGTCAAGTCCGGGTCCGATTAAGAGGCGCCTAGTCCCGGCGCGCGCGGAGCGGGGCGTCGAGGTTCGGCTTGCCGGGCTTGACCCAGCTCTTGTTCGCGGGCGCGGCCCAGGCGCCGCGGCCGCCCCAGGAGCCCCAGGAGCCGCCCCAGGAGCCCCGCGACCGGCCCTTGCCGCGGCCGCGGCCCCGGCCGCGCGCGCGGCCCCGGCCGCGGCCCGAGTAGGAGAGCACGGGCCCCGCCGGCGCTTCGCCGTCGTCGACCTTGGCCTTCTTCGCCGGCGGCGCGTCGTCGCCGTCCGCGGGCGCCGCGGCCGCGTCGTCGCCCGCGGCCGCCGCGGCGTCGGCCGCCGCGGCGTCGGCCGGCGCGGCCGGCGCGTCGGCGAGCGGCTTGAGCTCCTCGCCGAGCCACGCCGCGAGCGACGCGGACATGTCCGGGCCGATCATCTCGTTCATGGCCTCGCGGAGCTCCTCCATCGTCTTCCCATTGGACACGAGGACGATCGTGTACTCCGCGAGCACGGGATCGCAGGCGACGCCGAGGATCTCCGCGAGCTTTTCGGAGATGGACGCCTGCAAGGCGTCGCGCTCGGACGTCGACAGCTCGCGCTCGAGCTTCATCGCGTCGAGAGCTGCGGCTGCGAGATGCGGCTGCGGCAAAGCCAAGGGGTAATAAATAGTAGTTAAATTAAATCTAGATTTATATCCCCTTGGCAAAGCGAGCGACACTGCGCACTGCCGCGGCATCATCGCCCCAGATCGAAACGAGAGCCTGAAACTCCCAGCTTGGGGCTGTGTGCTTGGCGCACGCCGCGGCAGCCGCCGCCATGCGCCGGCGCAAGAGCACGGCGAACTTCATGGACCAGCGGCAGACGCAGAAGTCGATCCAGCACGCCGTGAAGCGCGTCATGGAGCTGTCGTCGCTGAAGCGGACGACGCGCAACCTGGCGGAGGTCATCGAGCAGGCCATGGCCGAGTGCAACAGCCGGGCGAGCCGCGACAGCAACTTCGCCCACCTCACGAGCGAGCAGCTCCAGCGCGCCCACGAGATGCACCTGAAGCTCTGCGAGAAGGCGGGCCTCAAGGAGACGCCGCGGAGCCGGCGGCGGTCGCGCGCCGCGCCCGGAACGACCGACTCCGTCTCCGTCGCGTCGACGTCGTTTCTCCCGATTTTTGGACGGCTCGTGTCCGCTCGGCGAGTCCTCGACGGAGCGCACGAAGAAATCGCGTCGCATACGTTCACGTCGACGTCGTTGTTTCCCGCGCAGGTCGCACGCGCACCGGCGGCGGCGCATGACGCGCAAGAACTCGCGGCCGCCGTCCGTGCGCGACCGGGAGAACAAGCGCGAGGCCGAGGAGCGCTACGCCGCCGAGGAGATGCTCGGCATGCACGCCGGCGCGTGCCACCTCCGCGACAGCCCGCCGGAGGACCGGGAGTTCGCGCTCGACATGCTCGTCGCGCGCGCCGCCGCGCGGGACGCGCGCCTTCGACTTCCACGCGAGAGAAACGGCCGGGGCACGCGACGCTTCGGCCGTGGGTCGAGAGCTCGGACGAGCGCGCGCGACCCGCGCGAACTCGAGGCGTCCGACGTCCGGGAGCGACGTCAGGTGGGCCGAGACCGTGCGCGAGCTCAAGAAGGACCGCGTGCGCAACGAGCGGGCCATCGAGAAGTCCTGGCTCATGATGGAGGAGGAGAAGCGCCTCGACGCGCTGAGCCCGCGGCTGCGGATCTGCTCGCTGTCCGTCATGGCCTGGGCGCAGTACGTGCGCCTGAACAAGCTCGCGCGGCGCAAGGCCGTCGTCCAGGCGAACGCGCGCGCGCTCAACGCCGTGCGCAAGCTGCGGGCGCGGAACACGAAGATGTGCGCGCTCCAGAACCTCGTCGCGTCCGCCGTCGCGAAGAAGGACAAGAAGCGGCAGGTCGCGCGGCACCTCAAGAAGGCCGCGGCGGCGCACTTTGTGGAAATCAACCGCTGGTTTGGGACGTGCCGACCAAACTTTGAAATTCTCTAGCTCGGCCAAATCGAAGTCGATTCGGCCAATTTTTGGACGGATCGATTGCTCTCGTCGAGTTCTCGAAGCACAGCCGAAGAACTTGTGTCGAAACATTCGAATACGCACACATTGACGTCGGATTGAAGATTTGATTTCCACACAGGCGGCGCACAAGGCCGCGGCGCACCTCCAGGCCGTCTTCTCCGCGAACCACGCCGACGACCGCTTCCAGAACCGCGGCATGCCCAAGCAGACCCACGACCTCGAGCTGCCCGAGCTCGACCTCGAGCGCGACTGCGGCTACGTGCGGCCGGGCGAGCGCGCGGCGCCCGCGCAGGCGCTCCGGAGCTTCCACGGCAAGATCTCCTACCGGGGCAAGTGGGGCGGCCCGTCGCCGAAGCCGAAGCCCCCCGAGGCCGCGGCGCCGCCGGACTTCGACGACGCGTCCTTCGTGTCCTTCCGGGGCACGGTGGACCGGCCCCTGGGGCTCGGCGGCCGCGTGCCGCCGTGGCTCGCGTGCGGCGACGACGACGACGAGAGCCTGCCGTCCTGCGTGTCGCCGCTGTCGCGGCCGGCCATCGTGCCGCCGTCCCTGCCCGTCGCGCCGCCGTCGTCGTCGGACATCCTCGGGGCCAAGGGCGGCGCGGGCTGCTTCGCGCGCGCGCGGCGCCTCGTGCCGGCGTCGAGCCGCGCGCTCCTCTTCTCGCCCCTCGCCGCGGCCATCGCCGTCGAGGACCGCTCCTTCGCGCCCCAGCGGCCCGCGTCGCGCGGCGTCGCCCACTGGGAGAGCGTCTTCTAAAGGCGCGCGTTCGGAAGTTCGGGGGGGGGGCTCGGGTCTCGCGTCACTCCGCGGTGTCCATGGGCTCCTCGAGGCTCCCGCGGCGGCTCACGCGGGGCACGTCGTCGTCGTCGGCGATGGCGAGGCGCGTCAGGTCGGGGAAGGCGGGGTAGAGCCACGATTCGACGGCGTCGCTGTCCGCGGCGCCGAAGGCGGCGAAGGCGGCCTCGGTCTCGGCCTCCGCGGCGTCGCCGGCCGGCGCGCCGGCGAAGGGGCTCGCCGCCGCGACGGCCGCGGGGAAGGCGAGGCCGCGGCGCTTCTCCCGGCCCGGGCGCGGCGCCGGCGTCGCCTCGGCCGCGGCGGCGCCCGGGCCCGCGCCGAGGAGCTTTGCGGCGTCCGCGCGGCCGTCCGCCTTCGCGGCGAAGACGCCGCGGCCGAGGCCGCCGCCGAGGTGGTTCGCGTCGGCCCCCGCGGCGAGCGCGGCCCAGTCGCCGTCGGCGTAGGCGGCCCAGCCGCCCTCGGCGGACGCGCGGACGGCCGCGCCGGCCGCGGCGTCGTCCGGGAGCGCCGCGAGGCACGACGCGCGCGCGGCCGCGTCGACGACGACGGCCACCATGCCGCCGAGGGCGACGCCCGCGGGGACCACGGCCGTCACCTCGCCGTCGGGCGGCAGCTCCGGGTGCGCCGCCGCGCCCGGCCGGAGCTTCGGCGGCTTCTCGGGCTCCTTGAGGTGGTCCGGGAGCTCGAGGACGTCCCCGCCGTCGTCCTCGTAGGGCGCGTTCGTCAGCGGGTTATCCTGCCGCTGA